GTTATGATTTTTTAAAATTATTTTATAAAATAATTAATAAAATAAATGTATATTTTTTAAGTTGAAAGTCAAAACACGAAACAAAAATAATTTAAATATATTCTCTAAATTTGATTTTAAAAAAAATAATAATTACAATTTAAATCTTTTTTTATAAAATAGTTTTTTTAATTTTAAAAATCTAAAAATTATTTTTTAAAACGGATTTCAAACAGGCCCTGTTCAGATATCTTTATTCGACTTGACTTGGATTAGACATGGCACAAATGTTTCTGACACATGAGGTCTCAAACAAACAAGAAAAAAAAAAGAGCCCCCCTATATATTAAGCTAATACCAAATGATAAATATTGAATATTCAACTATTATTTGTAAATCATTTTTATTTCGAGAGTCTTTATATCAATTTTTGTGTGATAAAATAAGATAAATATATACATGTTGCAACACATACTTTCTTTTTATACTTGTTTCCCTAACCCGAGGTGTAAAATTTGGTTAAAAAGCATTACTTATCTAAAATAGTGGTATGAGCAAAAATTTAAGGGGTAAATAACCTTGTTACAAAATCATATTATCTTTTAAAAGAGCTAGATAATACAAAGGGTTTTATTGCATAAGATAAATTATCTCATGCAACACCTAAAAAAGCGGATGTAATCCACTTTTTTATTTTTCTCTTTCTTTTTTTAGTGGATTCCACTCACTTTTTTATGTGTTGCATGAGACAATTGTCTCATGCAACATGAGAAAAATAAAATTCTAATACAAATCTACATAGACATCAAATATTGAATGAGTTCGTTTTTTTTTTTTTGCAGTTATTACAGATAAGGTATCTACAATAAGTCCAATACGACGTCATTTTGAAATGGAAATCATGATATTTTTTTAATTTTAATTTATTTTAAAGTTATTATAGTCTTTATAATTATAATTTTTTAATTTTTCAATACTAAAACAACATCATTTTGTAAATAAATGCAAATAACTTACCTGCAGTAACTGCAGAAATATTTTTCTCATATTTGAATTTTTGTTTACAATATTTCTTAAGGTTTGAGATCGGAACATTAAAAATTCGATACTATTTTAATCATCTATTACTAATTGGTATTTAATAATCATTTAAAAGTAATTAACATAATGGTTTATAAAAATAAAAATAAAAACCTTAACATATTAACAAGTCAAGCCAAAAACACACAATCCCATTAAATGTTTCCCACCTATCCTTCTTTTTCACATTAAGTGCTGGACCATCCTTAATCATATCTTAGCTTGCCCAGCACCAAACTTTTGTTGAATACGAAGCACGGCACGTTGTTGGTTTACTGCACGATAAATATGCATAATAAGTGTTTATCATCTATCATTTAATATGATCAAAAAAAATTTCTACACATACAATATTTTGTGGGGCTCGCAGCAAAAAAAAAAAAATTCAACGCACAAAATGAATTTCGATAACATAACATAATCATTTTTCCTACAACATAACTCTTATAAAACCTATATGATTATGTCTACGACCTCATAACCCTCTATTTTCCCTTCCATTTTTCCTGCAAGGACTCCTTCCTAAAGTTACGAAGTACAGTTAAGTGTCACTGTTAAGACCCCTCTCAACAGTGTTTTTTACTTTATTTTAATTTTTTCACATGAATCCTGGATGAGTTCGTTTTAATTTTTTCACATGAATCCTGGCTGAGATCGAACTCATCTCATGCGAAAGCCTAAATTACTCTAGGGGCATCATTTTCTGATAAATTTTTTTTAAAAAAAAAAACTTAAGGGATAATTGATATAAAATAATATTATATTAAAATTAATTTATGTTTAAAAAATTATTTTTACAGCCGTTTTACATACAGAAATGACAGATGTATGATTATGATTCCCACATTTAATGCTTTCATCTTTTGTATTATTATGATTTCTCACATTTAATATTTTCACACGTATATATATACGGTAAGTATTTGATTGCTGCACGTACAGTTGCTGCAGAAATGTAAACTCCATATATATATATATATATATATATATATATATATATATATATATATATAAATAATGGAGGGTTATATTTACAAATTTTTTATTTACAAACTCTTACAAATTATACTATATACTACCAGAAGTACACTAGGTTACACTATGTACTTCCGGGAATACATAATGTAATTTGTAAAAATTTATAAACAGATCTTTTCTCGTGTGTATATATATATATATATATATATATATATATATATGAAAAAAAAAAATTCGCAAGCAGCTTAAGATATATTTATCTCCGTCTACCAAAAAAACTACGTCGTTTTATTTATTTTCTTATATTAATTGATTCACCTTTGAATGATTTTGATTTCCTTTTTCTCTCTCTTCCTTTATCATCATTGATCCATCTTTATCTTTAAACATTATGATTAGTAACCGAAGATAAAGTTATCTCAAGCAACTTGAGAAATGATAAGCCATATATATATGTGTGTGTGGGGGGGGGGGGGGTTACATTTCTTCAGTTGTTGTACGTGCAACAATCAAATATTTGCCATATATATTTGAAAGAATTAAATGCGAGAAATCATAACCATACAAAGAATGAAAGCATTAAATATGGGGAATCATAACCATACACTTGTCGTTGTTGTACTTAAAGCGGCTGCAGAAATGATTTTACCTATATATATACATATATATATATATATATATATATATATATATATATATGAGAAAAATATTTCTCAAGTTACTTGAGACATATTTATCTCCGGTCAACCCAAAACTACGTCGTTTTGTTTATTTATTTCTTTATATTAATTGATTCACCTTTGAATGGTTATGATTCCCTTTTCTCTCTTTTCCTTTATTATATATGGGCTTATCATTTCTCAAGTTGCTTAAGATAATTTTATATCTGGCTACTAAATCATAACCGTATAAAGATGGATCAATGGTGATAAAGGAAGAGAGAGAAAAAGAAAATAATAACCATTCAAAGGTGAATCAATTAATATAAGAAAATAAATTAAAAAAACGACGTAGTTTTGGGTGGCCAGAGATAAACTTATCTCAAGTTGCCAGAAAAATATTTCTATATATATATATATATATATATATATATATATATATATATTTAGGGTTCATTTTTTCTAAAGTTACTTTAGATAACTTTGTCTAATGTTCACTGAAATAACGTTCCTTTCGGTGAACATTAGGGAAAAAATATCTAAATTGTAACCGTAATTGTAGTAATAGTCAAATTAAACATTACTAATTAATTACAACCTTCAATTTTGTTAATAGTAAAAGTTAAAAAGCTACAACAAATACACTTTAAATCAAAAAATAAAGAAAAAAATGTAACTTTTTTTGGAGTACAAAAATCTATGTAAGATTAGGCACTAATACCTCATCAAGTTTAGAAGTAAACCCCCGATCTCTCTATTTTTTTTGGTGAGGATAAGGGTGAAAACACCCCAACCAAAAGAAAGAAAGAAACTAAAACAAATCAAGAAACACGGCTTCGAAAGAAGCCCACAACAACCATATTAGCTAAAACTAATCTATAAAGATCAGGAGGAGGTGAATGGATAAAACTGAGAGAGTCATCTTGCTGGCGATTAAAAGATAAATTAGTCAACCAGTCCGCGCATTGGTTTCCCTCTCTGTAGACATGATTAAGATGAACTATCCAATCTTTGCGTAACCATGCTCGTATCTGAGACACCAAATGTGGCTCCCGAGCAGCATCACCGTCTTTGGTGAGCACCGTAATAGCATTACTTGAATCACTTTCCACAATCACCCTTCGCCAGCCCTTAGACCAAGCCAATTCAAGCCCTTTTAAAATCCCCCAAAATTCTGCAACCAATGCTGAATAGTAACCTATTTTATACGTGAACCCTCCTAACCAATGACCAGCATGATTCCGGAATAGTCTTCCACGAGTAGCAACACCTGGGTTCCCTCTTGAAGCACCATCTGTATTGATTTTAACCCAATCTTCATCAGGGTGGGTCCAAGCTATAAGCTCATTCGCTGGCATCCTGTTCATGATCCTATAGTTTTTAACCAGAAAAGCTTCGTTAACTCTGGATGCTAGGCACAAAATCTTTAAGAATGCATGAGAAGGATTACATATAATTAATGGGAATATGATAGGAAAGTAAGTTAGATGAAAAAGTTTAAAAAAAGATGTTTGGTTTACTGAAATTTTACCAGGAAAATTTATTTAAATTTACAAAGTCTATGTTTGGTTAAATGTAAAATAGTGATGAGAGAATTGGTTGAATTAATCAAAACACCCCTCATTATCAATATTTTTTAAACGAACCATTGCCTAAAAGTGAGAGTCCAACGTCAATAACTTGGTTTCTTTAAATACCACTTCCCCACCTATCCTAAAATACCTTACCCAAAGTGGTATTTGTGAACAGTTAGTTTCAGCAAAAAAAAAAGCGCAAATCTAATTGCCTGGGCTTCCTACTCGGCTGGTCTTTTTTTTTTTTTTTTCAAAACTTAAACCAAACATGGTCTTTTTTAATACCCATCCACATTTTCAAATCAAACTCAAATGAAAACCTATACCAAACACACCCATAGTAAATAACGAGATCCTCACGTCAACCTAGAAACGAGAATTTCTTTTGTGATCCCGAATCACATGCGCCAGTTAGAGAGGGAAAGGATGAGAGAGGAGAGAGAAAGAAAGACAAAGGAGAGAGAAAGTGACCCCTATATATGCATTTCTTTTGTGACCCCGGATCACATGCGCCGTTAGGGAGAGAAAGAGACCACTGTATATTTTTTCCAAATCATAGGTCTCAAGCAACAATAAAAGTCCACTTTCCTACGTTCTTGGGTCCATAAATTGTGATAACGAAAACGACAAGCAACTTTGTTGAATATTTTCCGTTTTGATTCCAAATGCTAGCATACGTACGTTGAACCTTATTATACGTTAATCAATTATAGATGGCAATATAAGTAGCAATTATGAGTCACCAGCAACCACCCACAAAACCCCTTACATTGAGTTCCCATTTCTCCAAGCTAAATCAACCATGATTACCTTCACTTCTCAAATTTCAATCATTTTGCTGCTATTACTATGTGCAACGATATTTCATAGAGGCATGTGTAATAAAAATACACAGCTTCGTTGCAATGAAAACGATAAATCTGCACTGCTGAACTTCAAACATGGTGTCATACACCAATCCAACAAGCTCTTCTCTTGGTCCAATGAAGAAAATTGTTGTGGATGGAAAGGAGTCCATTGTGATAACATCACAGGCAGAGTCACAAGACTTGATCTAAAGCAACAATACTTAGAAGGTGAAATCAACCTCTCTTTGCTTGAAATTGAATTCTTGAACTATTTAGACTTGAGCTTGAATGGCTTTACAACTCTTGGTCTTCCTTCTATCTTCAACCAATCACTAGTTACACCTAATACACGTGCTAACTTCTCAAACCTTCAGTTCCTAGACTTGTCCTTTAATGATGATCTTCATCTAGATAATCTCCACTGGCTTTCCCAACTTTCTTCCTTGAAAAGTCTCAACCTCAGCCAAATTAATCTTTCCAATGAAACAAACTGGCTTCAGTCCATGTCCATGCATTCTTCTCTGTTAGAGTTAAGATTGTCAAGTTGTCATCTATCCAATATCAATCCTTTTGTTAAGTTTGTGAATTTTACTTCACTTGTAACTCTTGACTTGTCTGGGAACTATTTTGTCTCTGAATTGCCTTATTGGTTGTTTAACCTCAGCAGTGATATCTCCTATATTGACCTTAGTTTTAATTTCTTACAAGGTCAAATACCCAAAAGCTTGTTGAGTCTTAGAAACCTTAAATCTTTAAGGTTGAATAACAACGAACTCAATGGATCCATTCCAAATTGGTTAGGCCAACATGAACATTTACAATATCTTGGTTTGTCAGAGAACTTGTTTCAGGGTTTCATCCCTACATCTCTAGGGAATCTCTCATCCTTGGTTGACTTAAGTATCAGCTCAAATTTCTTGAATGGTAGTCTTCCAAACAGCCTTGGACAACTCTTCAATTTAAGGAGTTTATCCATTGGAGGAAATTCCATGTCAGGTGTTCTCTCTGAGAAGCATTTTTCCAATCTTTCTAATTTAGAAACATTGGTCTTGAGTTCACCTTTTTCATTTAATTTGGATTCTGAATGGATTCCTCCTTTTCAATTGAATGGAATCAGTTTGAGCAATACAATTCTGGGTCCTAATTTTCCATCGTGGATATATACACAAAGGTCACTAGTATATCTAGAGGTTCCTGGCTCAAGAATTTCATCCATAAATGGAGACAAGTTTTGGAGGTTTGTAGCTAATATTACACAAGTCAACCTTTCCAACAACACAATCAGTGCAGACTTATCAAACATCACCCTTAACTCTGAATTATTATTTATGGACCATAATAATTTCACAGGAGGGCTCCCACATATAACTGCAAATGTCATCTATTTGGATTTGTCCCACAATTCTTTCTTTGGACCCATTTCCCCTCTGTTCTGCCACAAATTGGGTAGGGAAAATAGTTTGGATTACTTGGACATATCATTTAATCTTTTAACTGGAGGAGTTCCTGATTGTTGGGAGTATTGGAAAGGTTTATCTTTCCTCTTCACGGAAAGTAATAAGCTAACAGGTGAAGTTCCTCCATCAATGGCCTCATTTATTGATCTCATAGCATTGGATTTGCATAACAACAGCTTGTCTGGGAATTTTTCATTGGACTTATCAAACACAACAAACTTGGAATTCATCAACCTCCGAGATAACAACTTTTCTGGAAGTGTACCAGTGAAGATGCCACAGAATATGGAAGTGATGCTATTGAGATCCAACAAGTTTGAAGGTAATATTCCATTACAGCTATGCAATCTCTCTTCACTGATACAGTTGGATCTTTCCAATAACAGACTTTCAGGATCTATTCCTCAATGTGTGTCAAACATTACTGGCATGGGTGGAGCAAAAAAAACAAGTCATTATCCATTTGAGTTCAATTTGTACAACAAGGGTCAACAGTTAGAATACGAAGACTATGGATTGTTGAGAACTCTTGATCTTTCAGCTAACAACTTATCAGGAGAAATCCCTTCAGAAGTTTTCAATCTTGTTCAATTGCAGTCCTTGAACTTGTCTCGAAACCATTTCACAGGAAAGATATCAAGGAACATTGGAGGCATGAAAAATCTGGAATCTCTTGACCTATCCAATAATAAACTTTATGGCGAAATTCCAAACCCCATTTCCACTTTGTCTTTCTTGAGTTTCTTGAACCTGTCATACAACAATTTCATTGGACAAATCCCACTGGGGACTCAGCTTCAGAGTTTTGATGTGTCAAGCTATGTTGGGAATCCTGGACTTTGTGGAGCTCCTCTACCAAAGAATTGCACTGAAGGAAACGTTGATGATGAGCCAAAGCAAGATGGAGGAAACAATGAAGATGACTCTTTTAAAGAGTCACTCTACCTTGGAATGGGTGTTGGATTTGCTGTGGGATTCTGGGGGGTTTGTGGTTCTCTATTCCTCAACAGGAGGTTGAGGCACATGTATTTTCGGCTCCTTAATCATGTTGCAGACCAACTTCATGTGTTTGTGGCATTGAATTTTAAGTTCAATAGCTTTAGTGGGGCACGAGGAACTTCCAACTGAGGTAGTTGAATTCTGTTCTTTGTTAATGACTTGATTAGGACATCTTTGTCTTCTTTTCTTGTGCCATAAATGTAGAACACATGAACATCAGTTTTACCGTGTAGGTAATAAAGTCTTTGTTCCATGAACCATATTTAGTTTCTTTATAATATTTGGGCTCTTCAATTGTATTCTAGACACAAAAATTAATGCAGTTGGATAAACGGTTCCTAAAACAAAACATAAGAAAATTGTTACTATTTGTTTTGAAAATGTCGTAAATGACTGGTAAATACACAAGATTTGTAAATGTGTAAGCCACATATAAGTACAATTTGAAAGCGCAAAAAAAAAAAAAATGACATGTAAAGAGCGCCAAAATACCACGTGTAATCTTTGAATTGTTTATTTAATTAATATGTTCTTTAATTTTTTTCTGCAATTCAAATATACAACGTATAATGACCCTCACCGGTAAATCTTTATTGTAAAGATTTAATTTGATGATTTGGTACCAAATATGTCTTTAGAATGTGATTTTGTGTAATCTGACACTTTTTGCAAAAATCTCGTAAATAGTGATTTTTTGTCGAGTATTTTGTACTGCTGTTTAAGCAATCGGTAAAACTCAGAAATGAATAAATGATGTGATAAGTATATGAAAGTTCAATATATGGCAAACAAGTCATGTTTAGACTAAAAATGATAAATTTAGAAGTTTTACGATTTTGGGTGCAAACAGTGCACAATAGTGGTTCACAGTTCATTTCGTTAAAAAAAGTGCAAAAACCAAATTGTGAATTGCTAATATTGTTCCTTAGGGAATAAAAGTGAATGTAAATGAGCTCAAAAAAATTAAATTAGATTTTGATTTGATGAATTTTGGTCGTTCCCGGAGCGGAAACAACGTTTGGTAAATTGTTCCCATGGTGGGAACGACATTCAGTAGGACGTTCCCATGGTGGAAACGATGTTTAGTAAGTTGTTCCCACAGGGGGAACGACGTTCCTATGGTGGGAACGACATTCCTAGGTTGGGAACGCCACAAAGTTACTTTTGGGTGAAATGGGCAAATAATCATTTAATAAGTTGTTGATTTTAGTTAACTAAGCGTAAGTGAATAAAACATGTACAGTGGGTCACTAAAAATATAAGACACTATCAGCCATCTTTCTTATCATTTTCGTGGAAGCCATTGGTGGAAAAAGAAAAACTTGAGAAAATCATAACTTGAGCTACACTTGTCGGAATCGAGTTGTTCCAAAGTCAAACCTTCTTAGAATTTTGAGAGGAACACAACCCCACTCTTATTTTCGTGTGGGAAGCATTGTAGAGAGAGATCTCTGCCCTCAAAGCTACGAAAATATTCTTGAATTTTTGGGATTTTGAGTGGTTTGGAGTTTATGGAAGCTTGAAGAACGTTCTTCTTTCCATTCTTGGGTGTTTAGTGGTAAGTATATCCAACTCTTTTCAAGTTTTTATGAAGAAATGAAAATGGTAGGTTTTGGATGAATAGTAACAACGTGAATAATGACTTTTGATGGAAAAATAGTGGTTGTTTGGTATTGTTTCATGTTATAGAGTTGTTCCTTGTGATGACATTATGGTGGAGGAACACCCATTGGATGCAACATTTGCTCAAGATAAAGATTCTTGAAATTTTACCAAAAGAAGGGTAAGTTGTATTTTATGAGAATATGAGAAATTGTTAGCCAATAGCTTAACATTCCCTGTGTTGTATGAATTATTGACCACCTTTATACATTTGCTATAGTTGCCCTTATGTGAAAGTTGGTGAGTGTGCTCATTTGGACTAAAGAAAAATATTGGAAGTTATGTTTAATAGAGTGAGTGTTTAAATGACTCAAGAGTCAAGTCAAAAGTATGTTAAGCTATGAATTATGTGAAAACGAAGAGAGGAACGTCTGACGAAAAGTGCAGATACCGGTTCTTCTACTCGGTATAAATGCGTACCGATGAAGTATCCCAGAAAATTATAATAAGTGCATGAATATTCCTTGAATAATATGTAGGACTTTGATTTCAAGTTTCAAGTTAAAATAATGAGAACTGGTACCAGAACTGATATTGGCTATGTAAAAGCGCGTACCGGAAATGTGCTGCAAAAAATAAAATAAAAATATGATAAATCTTAGAAAAATGATTAGGTTCAGATTCCAAAGTTTGGGATTAAAATGCTAAGCGTAGCTATTAGTGCTAATACTGTGTGTTTATTACTTAAAACACTATATATACAACATTTGTCTCTAAACCCTAGGCCATACATTGGTGCTACGTGACTCCTTGGGTGGGTGACCAGCTAAACACTGTTCCATTACTTCCTCATCCATTTTGTGAGCTTTGTGACCTCTTTTCTTCCATTTCTCTTCACTAAATACCTTGTGTGTGTGAGAGGGATCATTGTGAGTATGAAAGGAGCACCTTTTCTGAGTGTGGTGGCTGTGTGAACCCTTGAGGTCTGGACTTTGTGGTTGAGTGGTGAGCTCCAAGAGCAACCTTGGTCTCTGTTTGAGTCTTGGGTAAGTGCCACCAACCTTGACCATGTGTTTCCTTTGTTAAAAATGAAGCCTTGATGCATGTAATGAACTAAAGTTAATAACTTGAGGTTGAGTAAGGTTAAACACACCTAGAAATGCATGTTTTAGTCTCTGTAATCGTGAAAAGAACCACCTTTGGGAAGGATATCTCGCGAAATGCAGAACTGCATTCTGTCGCGAAATATCCGGATATGAATATCCGGATATTGATGTCCGGATATGATATCTAGATATTGATATTCAGATATGGGGTCTTGTGATATCCGGATATTGATATTCGGATATAGGGTCTTGTGATATCCGGATATTGATATTCGGATATGATATGCGGATATTGGATATCCGGATATGTCCCCGACAAATATCCGGATATTCTGGGTTTTCGAGAACAGTAGTTGTACTGTTCATACAGAGCTGTGTTTGGGGTTTGTGGACCCTAGATTGATGAAGTTGAACTTCTGTAATAATCAATCTAAGTCAGAATCTTAGTGATTAAGGGCTTGAGGCTTTGTGAGAAGCTTAAAGATATGAAACGTAAAGGAAAGGCGTTGTCTTTATGTCGTTTGCTTGTAGAGTTTGAATATTAATATTATTTTGGTCCAAAACAGATTGTGATTCTGCTGTGTTTGGGCTTTGAGCTTGTGTGGACTCTTGGCTTGGATAGCTAGATTGCAAGGTAAGCTTTCGTGTCCTCGGTTTAGCCATTGTGTGGTTCCACCGTACCCCATGGGGGAATGGTTTATATGCATGATGTGTTTACATGCTTTAATAAATGAAAATTCTGCTGAGTTTTATGTGCAAATGCTTATAATATGTATGTGTTGTTCCACTTAGACGGTAAACCTGAGTATGCGGCGTCATAAAAGACGGTGACACTGTGGGTGGGTGCAAGTGGCGTCTTGCACTAGTGTGGGTAATAGACGTATTCCTGCATTTCTCGGGCCAGTAGATTAGTTATAACACACATGACATGATTATCTAGCTTCATTGTACTATTTTGAAACTTATACTGTTTAACTGTTTTTGGAACTTATATTGCACATGTAAGTGAGCTCGGGGTGGAAGATCCTTGAGGACCCCTTGTCTTACTGAGATTTCTGTTTAGAGATCTCACCCCACATTTGGGGCGCTTATTTCAGGTTCAGGTAACCCAGGGGCTGAGACCTCTAGCGGCAGGAGGCCGGAGCTTAGTTGATTGTCATGTTTGCTGATTATTGCTTAGTGTTTATGCTTTTTCCATTATCATGCTGTTTGTGTTGAGACTTGATGAGTATGCTGTTTATTTGGTGAGCATAGGGATTGTCCATGTCACATTGATTTGACAATGTTAAGTTATTCGAGTTGTATAATTGTATCAGGATTATGTCTAGACCACGTGTTGTAGATCTGTGACTTAGATACTCACTTATTTATTTTGAGGTATTTCAGTTAGTTGTCTTTTGCAATTCACATACAGGCAATGTTTTTATGAAAATGATTAATTAATCAACTTGGCTAAGTATAATGACGTCATAATTGAAAAGAAAAAGATATTCCGCATATTTAATTAAGCGTGGGTTAATACGATGACATGTTAACAATCCGGGTATACACGGGGTGTTACATGATCCATTATACTTAATATGGTATATATATGTTTTGTACATGTTTTCAATTTTGATGCATGCACTTTTGTGTATTTAGACATGTTATATGATGATGTAGTGTTCAGATATGTGCATGTGCTGAGATATGTATGTTGTTAGACATAGTGGCACAGAGCCAGATATGTAGTGTTCAGATATATGATTATACGATATGTTTAAGATGATATTTTATCAGGTATGGATTATGAGTGTGGGTTTTAATCCCTATTTTTTTCGGTGTACAGCCGTTACGCTGTCCGATTTTAGACTCTGTTTGGATTAACACTTGTTGTCATATTTAGATGGTCAAGGGCCATTGCATATGGTCATGGTGAAAGATGAAAGTTTAGAAAAGAAATCATGATTGATAAGAAAGATGAAACATAAGGCTATATATCATGCGAGACGAAGTTTAGAAAAGAAAAAAGACAGCTCGTATTTTTGTAAGATAATGCAAGATTATAAGTTAAGTCTTCCGCTGACGCATGTTTTAGTATCATATGTATGTTAATTGAACCGGCTCGAGACAGGGATGTTACACAACGATTGAGATTTGCATTTTGTAAAGCACTAAAACACATCAAATGGAAAATTAATAATTATATACATAAAACCAGTAATGCAAACCTTTAATATCGATATAAGCATACTGCATAAGTCAGTAAAAAAAAAAACTCTCCTTTCATCAGCTTTTTGAACTATCTAATTCGAAATTTGTATCTATTCTCTTTAATTTTTTAGACAAATGATTTACTAAACTAATATAAAAAGATGGGACATGATCATTTGACACTAGTGTTAAATTTTAAAAATTGGCACCAAATACTAACCATTAATTTCCGCAAATCAATGATTATTATTTATTGGAAATTAATAATTAATTAATAAATTTAATTGACGAAAGTTATAACCATTGATTGAGAGAAATCAATATTTAAAATTTAATACAAGTTGAAACAAATTCTACCTTTAAAAAGATATGCATTTTGATAATGCGTTTTCAAATTGCGCACTCCCTGTACGCGTCTTATAGAAAGATGTGCGTCTTGTAAAATACCACAAGTAACATGCGTATGCGCATTTAAACTAAGTGCCTTTTTACATTAAATTAATAAATTATCAGAAAAATATTTCTACAGTTAATGCAGATAAGTTATTTACATTTACTCCTAAAATGACATCGTTTTGAGATTGAAATATTAAAAAATTATAATAATAAAGACTATAATGATCTTGAAATAAATTAGAATTACAAAAATACCATGATTTCTGCTCCAAAACGACATCGTATTGAACTTACTGCAGAAAAAATGAACTCATAAATTATTTGCCAACATATTAAACAGATAAATAGTTACACACTTGCTTACCCAAAAAAAAAAATTACACATTTTTCATTTACATGCATGCAAAAGCTTATTTTATCACCGTACTTTGCGAAACAGTAACCATTTTGCCACACTTTAGCAAATTATTTACCAGACTGCTACGCCAACAGTAAAAATTTCCGAAATGTCACGCGGTATAATTCGCTACCTTGTGCAGCGAAATATGTTTGCAAATAATTCTCTACACAATGTAGCGAATTATGCTATGTCAGACTACATAGTCAGCAAAAATGACACGTGTCAAGCAGGGAGTAAATCGTTACATTGTGTAGCGAATTATGCTTGTATTACTGTTGACTATGCAGCCTGACATGACATAATTCGCTACACTGTGCAACGAATTATTTGCAAACACATTTCGCTGCACAGTGTAGCAAATTATGCCACGTGACATTCCAGAATTTTTTACTGTTGGGGTTGCAATCTGGTAAATAATTTGGCCAGGCATGACAAAATGGTCACTATTCCGTACTTTGCTCTGTGACAAAATACATCTTATACTATCAACAAAAATAATAAGAATAGTATTTATCATTTTAAATGATATATAAAATTATATTATTTTAATATATTTTTATATCTTTTTTTTTTCTTCTTAATTTTATAAAAGAAAAATCACAAAAAACATTAAAACAACATTATCTTATTAAAAATGACACAACACTTTCTCCAAAAATAATAATAGTAAAGAAAGAAAAAAGTGTACTCAACCCCCCCTACATATCAACCCTACACATTAATAACACCAAACCGATTAACCTATTTTGTGGTGATTTTTAAACACGGAACACTGCGCCACCGGCCTCGACAATTGTTCTCCGGCACTGGCGGGACACGTCTTTGGAGTCGCCGGCGGCGGCACCATGCAGTTGTACGACAAGCACAAAGTCGCCGTATCGGGCAAAACCGTTCCCTCCTTCAACGGTATCCCCGTGAAGTAGTTATGCTGAAGGTACAATGTTCTGGTGCTACCGCGGCACACGTTCTTAACGTACTCCTCAGGCACTCTCCCAATTAAACGGTTATTATTCAAGAATAAACTCTCCGCTCCATCAAACACCGTTGACAGTTCCCCGCTGAGTGAGTTATGGCTCAGATCAACAATAGATCCTTGACCGTAAGATGAGGACCCAATCAACGGTCCTTTACAGGGCCCATGTGGAAGCCCACCAGAGAGATTGTTCCGTTGCAAAAATAGGGAAGAGAGTGTGGGCCGGAAGAAGATTTGGGCCGGGATGGGCCCATTAAACTGGTTCATGCTAAGGTCGAGGAACACTAACTCTGAAAGCGACTCCAACCCGTTGGGGAGAGGACCCCACATTCGATTCTGTGACAGCGAGAGATAACGGAGTGATGACGGCATTGACTGTGGTAACGGCCCCGTGAGTTGGTTGTTCTTCAAATCCAAATGGAGTAACGGCGAGGAAACGTTTTCCGGTAACGCGCCGGTGAGCGAGTTGGAGGCTAGGATGAGGACCTTGAGTTGTGGCAACTCGGTGAGACTCGGTGGGATTGACCCGGCGAGTTGGTTGTAACTCAGGTCGAGAGTGTGGAGGTTTGTGAGAGAGGAGAATGTGGTGGGTATGGTTCCGGTGAAGCGGTTGTTGGGTAAGGAGATGACTCGGAGTTTGGTGAGTTGGGCCAGTTCGGGTGGGATGGAACCGGTGACGATTCCTGGGGAGAGAATGAGCTGAGTTAACTCGGTGAGTGCGGAGATGGATTGGGGGAGTGACCCGGCGAGTCGGAGTGAGTTGGTGCCGAGTGAGAGAATGGTGACTCGGTCAAGGTTGCAGGTGACGCCGGAGAAGGAAGAGCAGGGATCGAGTGCGGTGAGGTTCCAGGTGGAGAAGAAGGGTTTGGTGGGTGAGACTTCAGTGAGTGAGTTCTTGATTAAAAGAAGGGCTTTGAGATCCAAAGGGTTCATCTTTGGGTGTTGTTGATCAGATGGGGCTGTGAAAATGAGAAAAAGAAGAAGAAAAGAGTAAAAGAGGTGAAGCAGAGTGTAATTTGGTGTGGCCATTCAGTGTTTTGGGAATGCGAGTAAGAGAAGGTGAAATTTTGGGGAAAGAGAAGCAGAAAGCGCAGAAGTGTGAGGAGTGTGAGAGTTTGATAGAAGAATAAGTTGTTGAAATGAGGAAAAAGACAGATCAGAGCTTTTCACGCTTTGGGATTGATTAGAGAGAGAGAGAGAGAGAGAGAGTGAGTGAGATGTCACAAAATTGAAGGTGTGTCTGCGTGTGATTCAGATGGTGGTAAAGTTGAATGAATGCAAGGGGGGGCTCATGCATTCTGACTGACTGGGTTTGAGAAGTGCTGTGGGTCCCATTCCCAAGGTTTTGCTGAGGAATTAACTTGCTCCGTTGCATTAATGAACAAAAAGATGCTCAAGGACGAAGCTTGCTGCAATGAAACGTCGTAAGTTACAACTTACAAGGAAGGACATCATGGTTTCAGAGCATGCGGTGCTGCTTGAATTCCAGATAATGAAAAGTGGGAATGAAATTTTAAGTTAAGGATATTTTGCACAATTTGAGGCATTTAAAAATAGCGTTACAATCGGACCATCATGTTAGCACCGAAAGATTAGGCGAGTGTTAGCATCATATTAATACCTCAAATATGATTAGTCTAATTTTAATTTTTATGACTCTTACGAAAGATGGAGGAGACTGGCAAGGTATTCAACTTAGAAACAGGACTCTCATTTTGGCAAATCCATTTTTTGGGGCCATTAAAGAGTTGTTTTTATCTTTTATTTAAGGCAACAAGATGGAAAGATAGAGTTAATGGTGATCGTTGGCAAAAGTTTCAGGTGGCGCAAGGAAAAGAAGGGACCATCGAGCCAATTGCAACTGCTCTTCTCATAACTCAACAAGAAGATTGGTATCCTGTCAGTCTCGTTATAGGTTTTGATTTTTGAAGGATCGTATAAAATTTCATATAATTAGGTTTGAAACTTACTTGTTTTACTAATTAGGTATGTAACTAGAGATGGCAAAGTGGGCGGCCCGCCCCGCCCCGTCATCAGTCCGCCAAAATATAAGCCCCCGTTCCGCTTTTGAAAGTGGGCTGAAAAATTCAGCCCGCCCCGTCCCGTTTGGCGGGTTGGCCCGTTAGTCCAAGCTTATTTTACACTGACCCGCCTTGGCCCGCCAACCCGTCAAAAAATGAGCCCACTCCGTCCTGCCCCGTTTTTGTGCATGGTTGAAAAACTCAGCCCACCTCGCCCCGTTTAGCAGGTGGGGTGGGTTGGCTCGCCGAGTTGAGCCCGTTTTGCCGGCTCTATATGTGACAAATTCGAAATTCTTCTGCCCAGTTATCTACTTCAATTTTTCTAATCTTTATGCAACAGTTTCTTTACACGAAATATTCAAAGATCCCATGAGCACACAAGAAGAATACTATATGCAATTGACATAGCTAGCACTGTAAAATTTTTATTCATAACAACATTTTTTATTTCGTTTCTTACGGTTTGTTTTTAATATATATATATATATGGTTTGTTTTTAATATATATATATATATATATATATATATATATATATATATATATATATATAGGAAAATATTTCTACAGTCACTTTAGCTAAGCTTGTCTACAGCTACTCTTTTTTAACTAAGTATAACCGGTTATACTTTAAAATTGCATTTTCTCTCTCCGCCACGTCAACTGACAGTGTCTGAGGAGAGAGAAAAAAAGAACAGCTTTATTGTTATAACTAAGTATGACACGTCATACTTAGTTAAAAAAGGATAACTGTAGATAAGCTTATCTAAAGTAGTTGTAGAAATACTTTTCTCATATATATATATATGGAAAAAATATTTCTACAGCCACTTTAGATAAGGTTGTCTACAGTTATCCTTTTTTTACTAAGTACGACCGGTCGTACTTAGTTATAACAATAAAACTGTTCTTTTTTCTCTTTCCTCAGACATTGTCGGCTGACGTGGCGGAGAGAGAAAATGCAATTTTAATGTACGACCAGTCGTACTTAGTGAAAAAGGGTAGCTGTAGACAACCTTATCTAAAGTGGCTGCAGAAATATTTTTCCCCTATATATATATATATATATATGGATAAGGGTGTGTCATTTGGCACACCTTATATTCTTTCACTCTCACAAAGAGGTGGGACCCACATCTTTAAAACTTTTTCCATCCATTCTCTTTCTCATGATTTATCTTTTTCTCTCACTTAAAATGATACAACTTTATATCCTTCAAAATGATACACAATTTCTCATATATATATATATATATATATATATATATATATATATATATATATATATATATATATGTATATACATATATATGTAGAAGAGGTTATAATTACTACATCTTTTTCTTACTACCTCTTACTACCAAATATTAACTGTTGATTTTCGCCAATCTAATGGTTATAATTTATTGAAAATTAATAATTAATTAATAAGTATGACCCAATAAATTACAATTGTTAGATTGACGGAAATCATCGATTAATATTTAATAGTAACAGATAATAAGTAAAAGAGATAGTAACTATAACCTCCCATATATATATGGTAAAATCATTTCTGCAGTCGCTTTACGTACATCAATGACAGGTATGGTTATGATTCCCCACATTTAATGTTTTCATCCTTTATATGGTTATGATTCCTTACATTTAACGCTTTCAAGTATATATATGGCAAGTATTTGATTGCTACACGTACATCAATTGCAGAAATATAAACCCATATATATATATATATATATATATATATATATATATATATATTATCGTATCACAAGAGAGAAAAATTTCTACTGCTGATACAGCCAACTAGTGAGGCCCACAACAAATATGTGAAGCCCACTTGTTGGTTGTGTCATCAGGAGAATTTTTTCTCTTGTAACATAAGACACTATTAACCCACACATATATATATATATATATATATATGAAAAAATATTTCTCAAGTAGCTTGAGATAAGTTTATCTCCGGTTATCTCAAAACTACGTCGTTTTATTTATTTATTTCCTTATATTAATTGATTCACCTTTGAATGGTTATGATTCCCTTTTTCTCTCTCTTCCTTTATCACCATTGATCATCTTTGTACGGTTATGATTTAGTAGCCGGAGATAAGATTATCTCAAGCAGCTTGAGAAACAATAAGCCCATATATATATATATGTGTGTGTGTGTGTGTGGGGATAAGATCAATTTACACCGGTGTAAGAATAATAATATGAGGAAGGATATATTATAATATTTTTTGTTTACAAACTCTTACAACTAAATCTTAACCGTTTGTTTTCGTTAATATGATGGTTATAATTTATTGGTAATTAATAATTATTTAATAAGTGTGACCCAATAAATTATTACTGTTAGATTTGCGAAAATCAACGATTAAAATTTGGTTGTGAGAGTTTGTAAGCGAAAAAGGTTGTAAGTATAACATATATATATATATATATATATATATATATATATATATATATATATATATAGGAGCAGGATATTCTTACACTTAATATTGACCATTGATCCACTAGTATCCAATGACTCACATTACTAAAAAAATTAGAGCCCTTAGTTCAATAGCGGACCTAGAATTTTTTTTTAATGTCTGCACCCTTAGAATAAAAAAATAAAGGAAAAGAAATTTAAAGAAAATTTTAAATATATTAAAATACAAAAGAATATAAACAAAAAAAAGAAAAGAAAACTTTAACTTGATATAAAAAAAGTAATCAAGAGTCAATTAAACTGTTACAGTAGAATATTTTGGGTTCTCGACAAAAATTACGGGCCTCAATTTAATCTCTTAGGGAAAAAAAAATCTACTCGTGATCCCTCAGATTTCAAAAATAGACTCAGATAATCAAAATTACGGTCCTCTGAAATTCAAAAAGACTCACATTAATACCTTAAAAGGACTAACATGGGTCTATTTTGGAATTTAAAGGGATCACGAGACAATTTTTTTTAAGAGATTAAATTGGGTCCAGTAATTTTTATTGATGACCCAAAATATATTTTATTTTATTTTTCTCAAAAAATTTGTGTGTGCCCTTGCACATATGTGTGTCCGCCACTACCTTAGATATAAGTGGGATCAACAGACAAGATTGAGAGTGTAACTTACACTAGTGTGAAATTATATATATATATATATATATATATATATATATATATATATATATATATATATATATATATATATTGCAACCCAAAACTATATTGTTTTGGAGATTGAGAGAATTAATGAATGATTTTTTCAAAATTTTATTTATTTATTCGTTATATGAATTTTACCAAAACACCCTTCATTAATTGTTCTAGGTAATAATTGCCTAATATTATTTATGAGATGATGATTAACTCCCCAATCTTTTCCAGATCCTCCCTATGATCATAGGAATCTCACGATCTTATATCCTCCATACGAATATAGAGCCATAACCCTCACGTATGTATATTTTCATTCCCTTTCTCCATGCAGTGACTTTAGCTCCAAGGTCCCTAAAAGTGCACCACTTCCTATTGTTGCACGAAGAGACCAATGGAGCCATCTTCAACGATCGATAGCCAACTATCAAAAGAAAATAATGTGCATCAGAAACCGGTTCAAGCATCCGTACTGAACAAGTAGTATAATAAAAATTTGATATGTAACATTCTATATGTGGTTGAGCAACATGTTATATCTACCATTGATGTTGTCAAGTTTCTCCTCAATGAGATATACCCCAATTATACTAAAAACAAAATCAGGTTGAGAAGATCTAGTCTATAATAACTCACATTAGTAAATTAAAGTAAGTTGGAATTGACCTTGATTTATCAGTTAAATAATTAGGTCAAAAATATAATTATCATATATAAATTAGATACAGAAATCAAATTCATTACAGAGTAAGTCACTTTTCAAATAAAAATG